GTGATTGCATATGTCAGGGCCTGGCTGGTAAGTTTTCCCGCTGAGGGAGAAAGTCAGTGACAGACAGTCTGGATACTTTCTTAATTTGTTTCATTTACAAAGTATATACCTGTCCTTGAACAGAAGTAGTCACAAATAGTATACAGGTAAAACTCTATATAAGTAATCTCAGCCAAAATCCCAACTCTGCTCCAAGACTTGATTCTTGTTAGAGAGATTAAGGCAGGGAGCAAACTCACATTATTTGCAACCCCCAGCAAAAAAAACCCTGCATCACAAAACTAACAATACTGTGTAATTGCTACACAACTTTGTATTTTCCACTCTACTCTCTGTAAATGCTGCCTTAATTATTACTAATAATAATTATAACTTTTAGCACTTCATAAATTTCATATCAGACCTCTGAAGAGAGAAGTAAGTAGTATTATCACCATTTTTTAAACAGGAAACCTGACACATACAGATGTGACTTGACCAAAGCAGAAGGCTGCCCATAGAATCATTGAGGCTCCATCTTAGAACTGAGTTAATCAGTTCTGATATTTATCTCTCTTGGTACTAAAACTGAACACTGTTTTCATAGTATCCAAAAGAATGTATAACACTGTATGTAACAGCACCATCTGGTGACCCTTGCCATAACAATTTAATCAGCACTTCTGTATAATACATTAATTTTGAATATCATCAGAAGATTTTCCAGACCAGGGTGTGAATACATGGTTTCACTGATGTCAATGGCGAAACTCCACTTACTTTACTAGGCTTAGGATTTCACCCAGGCTGCTGAGAAAAGAAAACATGAAAATATATTTCTGGTACTTAGATAGCCCTCCATCAGACAATCCCAATATGCTTTAGAAATATCCTTTAATCATTCTTCAAGAAGATTGACTTTTAATATCCTCATTTTAGATGGGTAAACTTAGAAACAGGAAGGATAAATGGTTCCCCAAGATCACACAGAAACCAAAGGGAAGACCCGACTATAGAAACCAAAAATATTGGCTCAGTGCTCTAACCAGTAGACCAAGATGGGACATGTACTTTCAAACCATTACTCAGACAAAAGTCTGAATAAATTGAGTTAACAAAAGAGACGCCGTCAATTAAAAAATCTCGCTTCTGTCTACTAACCTACTGTTGTTACAAGTGACACGTAAACTTACTGTAAATTAAAGTTTGCTTATTTACATAGTGCATCGACAGAACTTTGTGTAGAGTCAGTTTCACTGTTTCTCCTGCATATTCAACTGGCTGTTTCCCCTGGATCTTGTACACAGCACTAGGGAGAAAAAATGTTAAAACTCTGGAAACTAAAAGATAAGTAAATAGTTACCATGCAACTTTCACTAAAACTAGGAATGGGTAATTCATTATGTAGACTATGGATTCTGTGTCCACCCATATTTTACTAAATATAGATTTCAGATATCCACCCTGCCATTAGAAAAACATGTAAGACAGCACTGAAAGGAATAACAAAGCTAGAAGAGGTTCTGAATATAGTACCATGAAGTATAAATAGCAGAACTAACTAAATCAAATCTTAAGATAGAGCCACAGTGATCCTGTGGAGATTCTCCTGCTTTGGTCATGTCAAATCTCTGTCAGTGTTCTCACTTGATAAACTGGCAATAATAATACTAACTGTGATGTTATATGATTAAAATATGACCATGTATATTATTGTTGCTACCACTGCAATCGCAACAAATCTTGTGCAAAGTATGTCATGTAAGGTGTCAATGGAAAAGTTATGATTTGTTGAATATGATTATCCTATGTGTATGTGTAGCAAGGTGGTTACCCCGCTCCTGCCCTGAGGGGCTTAAAACAGCCCTGGGAGAGGACTGTGGCAGGGGAAAGGCTGGGCTGATTGAGAAAGCAGCCACAACTGCAGCCAGCTTAATCAGGGCCCAGCTGGCCCTTATAAGAGGGCAGTGGGCCAGAAGCAGAGACAGTCTCTCTCTAACTGTTAAGAGGGATGGGCCTGGCTGCTGGGAGCTGAACAGAGTGCCTAGAGCAGAGCAGAGCAGAGCAGAGCAGGGCTGGGGGAAGGTCAGAGGAGCTGGGGAGCTCTGGCCTGGAAACCCCCCAGGCTGCAGGCCTTGTTAAAGGCCCAGAAGGGTACTGGGGTTGCAGAGGGCAGCCCAGGGGTAGGCCAAGGCAGCAGGTCCAAATCCCCCTTTCCTGTGATGATTGGCTTGTAAACTGCAATCTGCCCCAGTGAATGGGGGCTAGATGGTGACTGGCAGTAGCCTTATACTGAAGTGGGAATGGTGGTTAGGGGTTCCCCTGAGTGGGGAAAACCAGATTCGGGGTTGCTGCAGTGGGCAGAACCCCTGGGTAAAGGGCACCGGAGTCCGGGAGGAAGATGGGGGACAGTGGCAAGTGAGACATCAGCTGGCCTGCAGAGGGCGCTCCGAGCTGGAAAAGAGCTAATTCCCTGGACAACCAGCAGGAGGCACTGTGCCGGTGAGTCGTCGTCCCATTACAGTATGCATGTATCATGCATGTATTCATGAAGTTATGAATATTGATTATGTACCTGTATTTCAAAAGTGTTTGCTCTTGGGTAACACCCACCGGGTGGTTAACATCCAATCTAGACAGAACATTGTAAATGGAGTATTCCAGTTGATAGCCCATCAACAAACACAATGGGTGATGGAAGAAGCTTATCCCCCACCTGATGGACTTTCCTGTGGATGTCAAGTATCAGAGGGGTAGCCGTGTTAGTCTGGATCTGTAAAAAGCAACAGAGAGTCTTGTAGCACCTTTAAGACTAACAGATATATTGGAGCATAAGCTTTTGTGGGTGAATACCCACATGCGTCTGACGAAGTGGGTATTCACCCATGAAAGCTTATGCTCCGATACATCTGTTAGTCTTAAAGGTGCTACAAGACTCTCTGTTGCTTTTTCCTGTGGATGTTCCAGTCAGAATATGGGTAATGGCCCCTGCTATGACTCACTGAAGTATGCAAGGGCATGTGACCAGCTCATGTGACGCTGGACTACATATTGTGGCTGTACTTTTCCACTAACTGTGCTGAGGGCTTTGTTTGAGATAATGAAGTTCCCAACATATGGCAGAAAGTATAAAAGGCCCAGGAAACATCTCCATTTGGCCTCTTTCCTGCTCTGATCTCTGGACTATGAACTTATATTAATGGGAGTATTCTAACCAAAGGACTGAGGACCTTCTAATCATTTGGAAGCAACCAGAGACTTAACAAGCCAACAGTTTTTTTTTTTCATCACTGCTTCAAGCCTGATCCAAGAACTTTGTAATTATTGTATGTATTTGATTCCTTTAACCATTTTAACTCTCTCTTCTTTTCTCTTATAAATAAACCTTTAGGTATTAGATAGTAAAGGAATGGCAACAGCACGATTCTAGGGTAAGATCTAAGTTTATATATTGACCTGGGCGTGTGGCTGGTCCTTTGGAATCAGAAGAGCCCTTTGGTTGATGAAATTGGTTTTAAATAACCACTCATCATTAAGTCTAGTGCCTGGGAGTTGAAACAAGGACTGCAATACCTAAGGAGACTGCATTTCTGACTTCTTGTTAGCCAGTGTAGTAAGACAGAAATTTACTTTTGTTGCTTGTTTGGAATTTCTCATGGAAGCATAACCACCAGTTTTGCAGTGTGTCTGCCCTATTTCTTGGCATTTGTCCTGAATCTGGTATTCTGTTATGACCCACTGAGGCACAGTGACACTAACCTCTATCCAAAGATGCCTGTTGTGAAATTTAATGTTTATGAAGTGCTAAAGAGTGTTATTAACATAAAATAAATTAATAATAATAAAAGGAAACCCTTTACAGAGGCATATAATGGACAATACAAAGTTGTATAGAAAGCACAGAAATAGGTATATTCTCCAGGTCACATAATTCCTATTGACTCTAACAGGTACTATGCAGGTGAATAGTCTTGCTCTGTACTAATATTTTAGTTCTATGAGACAAAGTTGTTTTCTTACCTGTAAGTTTGCATTTGTCAGGAGGGGTTTTGATGAGTCGAATTTCTGAAAGGACTGTAATTAAAATGTAACAATGAATGATGAATGAGTTGCTGATGATCTTACAAGGAACTTGGGGGAAACCAATGTAATGGTACAGTGTCACATGCTATATTGTCATGTAAGCCTCAGTTCAGAAACGGATTTAAGCATGTGTTCAAATGCAATTGACTTCAGTGTGGCTGAGCACATGTTTAAGTGCTGCTCTGAATAATGAAGATTCCCAGAGGGCCAAAGAAAATATCACTAATGGTACTGGTGTCCTCTAAGTTCCAATCTAGTGGGAGTGCAATATGCTCACTCTCTTTAGGAAACAACACTGGTATCTTACTCTTGTAAGACTTTCAGCTTCTTAACCCATTAAATGTCTTTCTATGGCATTTGTTTATACACCCACACACACCACATTCTTTACATGAAATTACATGAAAGGAATGTTAAAGTTGCAAAATAAAATATCTCAAGATCAGGAGATACCCAAGTGTATATATCCTGAACTCTGTCCCTTTGTGCATATGCATTATAAGAAAGGGTGAAATCCTGGCATCACTGAAGTCAATGGGAATTTTGCCATAGACTGAAATAAGGCTAGGATTTCACCTATAGCCTTACACTACATGGTCACATACACTTTTTTTTTCCCTGCAAAACGCCTGCCTTACTCATTGTATAGGCTGGATGACACACAGTGAACAAGAAAGGTATTCAAAATTTATTTTTGTCTTCACGGTTCAATGTATGGTTTTCTCCCTCATTCAGTGCATGTCACCTAAACTGCTTATTGCATGATGCTGGAGTACTCGTAATTTCAGGAACTAGTAATGGCTCTACTGCTTGTAAAGGTTTTGGATCTTTATAATTCGATGAAGAAGAACCAAGTAAGGGTATAAATATAATCCAAGCATGCATATTTTACCATCATTTTCCCAATAAGTCTGTAGCCTGCAGGTACTTTCCAGGGAATTTTTTCGCCATGATTGAGCAGACACAGTTCAGAGAAAGCCTCCGCAAAAAATCCTAAATCTGTAAGTACTTTAATCTTTAAAGAAATGAGAAACTGAGATTTAGTTTTAGTGCCTTTTCTTAGTCATTCCATTTCCTTACAATACATTATATTAAAAGGGAAATCGTCAAGTAATTTTGACCCAAAGTTTGACCATTTAAAATGGACACAATTTAATCGAGAATGTTCTCTACTAGACAGCTATCCTATATATCTTGTACTGAATAAATGAACCCAAAAGCTGAAGATCTCATGTGACAACAATAAAATAAACAAACTTTCTCCAAAACTGAAAAAAAAAATCAATTAGGGTTCAGGTTTGGTTAGAACTTTATAGTTATAGTTCAAGTCAATGAACTATATTTTATCCAAATCAATGTACTCTCCCTTCTCCACAATCCTCATAATTTCCTTGAGTTATCCAAACTCTATAATAGAACACTTTCACTTACAAGTTATGCTGTTTTTAAAAATGCTCTCACACTAAGATTTAAAGAACTTTAGCAGGAGTACAAATGAAGTGACAAACCTATTCCAAAAGTTACGACAATGTTCTTGATGACATTACTGGTGTTGACAGGAGTAAGGAAGTGAATAAGGACAGCCACATTCACATACACTCCATATTTAAAAAAAAATTAAAGAGCAGGAGACCTCTTGACTCCAGTGCTGCGCGTTGGGGCTCAGCAGAGGTCTGCTGAGGGACGGTGATGGAGGAGCCCGGTGCCTCATAAGTAATCTCTCTGGATGAGTGGAGCAAGGGTAAAGACCTCGCTAGGGAAGCTCTCTTTTTGTGAGAGTCTCTTGTTGGAGAGGTCGAGGCTCACTTCCTGATAGTTTTGGAAGTCGGAGCCTTATCATTGCTTAGGGATCTCGGTTTGTGAAACTCCCTGGAGGACGTCTCTTGTGGAAGTTGGAGGGATTTCTCCATCAGAAGCATTTTCAAACTGAGATCCCTATCGCGACTTGCTCTTGACTTCAAGTTGCTGCAGTGTATGCATTTCTGGGAGATCTGAGTTTCTCCCAGACAGCGGATGTAGGATGTGTGTCCGTCAGAGACCGGCACTGGTTCACGGCAGGAGTCACACTTTTAAACCCCGTTGAGCCCTCCTCCCCCCCCAATAGATGAGGGTGGGAGTTAATTGATGTGGTAAACCATAGAGCTATTTGTAAATGGAGAACTAAGTAAAGAAATTATTTTTGTTGAAGAAAATCTTTTAAGAGGAACTAACAAAACTATGTAACTAAGTATAGACTAATAAGTTCCTATGTAACTTTTTTTTTCTCCAGAAAGTATCAAGGAGAGCTCCGTCTGCAGCCGAGAGAGGCTGAGAAGGAACTGAGGGGATGGTCAGGGGTCTGTGCGCTACAGGAGACACCAATGGCTGCACAAGACAGCTCCTTGTGCGCCCTTCCCCTGACCAAGAACTGCTGCGAAAAATCTCCGATCTCCGGCGCAGGGACGCACCGACACCTAGAGTAGAGCACACACCGGGACACCACTCGAAGAAGAATCAATGTTTGCCAAAGAAAAAGGCCAGACTCGGAGGGAATATGTTATGTTCATATTTTTGACTATTGTAGGAGTCTTGATTAGTAAAGACAATAATAAAAAATAATAGTGATTTCAATCACAAAAGACTCTCATTCCATCAAGATGCTCATCGAGAGAAGAAATATTGAACAAGAACTCAAGTATAAAGTATTTCTTTTACAGTTCATGGCACAATGTTATATACCAAGCAACAGTAACTCAATTACATTTAGTAATAAAGTTAAATGAAAAGTTTATTCAAAAATGTAATATGTTGTAGCAGCTAGAAAGTTTTACATTACCTTGAGGATTCTTCCTTCAATACATTTAACCGGGTCCCGACAAATTTCAGAAACAAAGTATTGGTACAATGTAAACAGTGGCAAAACCTGCAGGAAAAAAAATGTTAGGCGGTCTATACATAAAAGCCAGAAAGTCTGCCAATACAAAAATACAGTACTGCAAAGACTACATTAAAGAAAACACATGAAAGTAACCTAATTTATAGTGCTAGTACTTCCATTGCCATCCTGGCTTGATATCTTCTTCAGAACTGCTTCTCTTGTGTTCTATGAAGAATGGATACTTTACAAAATTCTGTAAATGGCTAAAGCCAATCCTACTATTCTTAAGAGCACTGTCTTTCATCTGATCAATACAACAGAATTTAAAGTTTCCTCAAAATTGTCCTCTTAGCTCAAGGGTGTTTGATGTACCATAAGAGTACATCTACTTGAAAGAATTTAGTACACAGGGTTGCTCAAAGAGTCTGCACTCTGATGCCAAAAATTTTCTAAAACAATCACTAAAAGGATAAAACGATACCGATGACATTATAAAATAGTAAATACCTAGTCAAATATAATAATTTTCTAATTTAAACTATTTAGATTAGAATACAAATTGAATCCTGACGAGGCTCAGCTGAGTTGGACCTGCTTATCCAACAGTGAATGTGCCTCTTGATCTAAATTATTTTTATTAGACAAAGTTAATAAAAGGTAAATGCTTGATCCTATAATCTTTACTTATGTGATTAATATTTAACTATCCAAACAGTCCCATTAATTTCAATTTAACTGCAGATCTAAGTGTAACTCACACAAAAAAGTATAATGTACTAGGACCCAGTCCTGCAATAATAAATAAACTTTGTTCACTATTTTACAGATTAAAATATACTCAGGTTAAAAATCATATTTGGATTAACATTGAAAGAACTTCTGTAATCTGCTTTACTGTTAACCACTTATACTGTTTTTTCTTTTTAATTTTCTTTGAGTGTGGACAAGCTAGGCAGTGTTACTTTGGCTTATAGTTATTTTCTTGTCAATGTCACTTTACGGTTCTCATGAACTAGTTTAATAGTGCTGTGTCTGTATTACAAAGTCCTCCAGGGAATCTTAGTTTGTTCTTGAAATGTTTTCTCTATAAATTTAAAATATTTCTGAAAAAAATATATTCTGTAAAATATTATTTTATCAAACCAAAATCTGGAGCCAAATTTGACCTCACTTTAAGTGTGCTTTAATGGTGTCCATTGTCCAAAACAGTCCCACAACTGATTACACTCTACAATATGGTGGAAATGTAGCTCTTGCCCTGCTGGTACTGCTATTGCAGTGCCTCTGATCTATGGCCGACTATCTACTCTACCTGATACAGGAGCAATGTGTCTATAGATGTGCATAAAGAGGTGTGTGAAGTACTTCTTCAACTAGCAATCTGCTCTCTGAGATTGATAAGCAGGTGAGAGTGTGTTTCATTAAAATTGGAGAGAAAGAAGCAATCTGAATAGAATAAAATTAACCTGGAGGCTAGGAGGGGACAGAATTAAAGTGGAAAATGGGAAGGAACTTGGTGGAGGGCAGAGGTACAGACCAGAGCCTTGCAGCAGGACCTGCTGTCATAATAGCAGAAGAAGGTAAAATGTACTTTGTTGTGGATGAGATTGGGTGGGCAAAAAAAAGAGACTGTGGCAAAGTAAAGCAAGTTTTTCTTTTCTTTTTTTAAATAAAGGTTTCAATACTTAAGCGAGGGATAGAAAGAAATTTGCTGTCTATTATAACAGGAGTTAAAGTATTTCTTACATAGTTTAAACAAGATTTGTTTTATTCTTTTAGTGATAAAATTGTATCTGAATTCCATTTGTATATATATTAAGCAACTTAGGGTATTGCAGGGTGGGACAGAAGCAGAATTAAAGAAACAGTCCTCTGAAGGCAGCACCACCACCAGCAGCATAGCAGAAATATGATGGGTGGCATGGTATGGTATTGCCACCCTTACTTCTCTGCTGCTGTTGGTGGTGGTGCTGCCTTCAGAGCTGGGTGCTCGGCCAGCAGCCGCCACTCTCCAGCTGCCCAGCTCTCAATGTCTGCAGAAAGTTTTTTTTCCCCCCTAAAGCTTCTCACAGCCCGTCTCCCCAAATACATTCCATGATGCCCCCAGGGGCACCCTCCTTCCCAGGGCATACACACACCCCGGTTTGAGAATCTCTGCCCTAAGGGATTAAAAAATGCAGAACTCTGTGCCATGACCCTGTTGCAACAGCCCCCAGACCAACAGCCAACAAAGATAACAAGGGCTCTCTCCAATACATGCAAGGTACCCACAACAGATTAAGCATAACAATTTTCTATTAAATATGATGACTTACAATTCATTCATATATGTTTTTGAATAGTACTTACTATTAGATTTTGCTTTGCACAATGCAATTCAAATATAAGAAAACTCAGACTTGCAACTACAGTGGAGACATCAGCTCTGTAGCGATCAGAGAACAAATCAATGCCAGGAATAAGTTTGTGTATTTCATATTGTGCAAAGTCACAATCAGCTGTGGGATGTGGAATAGAGACTTTAAACAATGTCTGAAAATAATAAAAATGACATATTTGTAAGTATATATGCAGCTGTGAAGCATAAAAAAGGATGAACAATTCCCAAAACTCAAAATGAAATTCAGTCAACTTCTATATTTCACCTGGCTCCAAATGAAACCATGCAAAATTGTAGAGGAATGATTAATGTTTTCATGTCTGAACCTTGATAGAGTAAGGGATCTGGCTGTAGATGGATAGAAGAGAGCATCAGATGACACTGAGCAAAGCACAGAAGCAGATCTAGGTCCAGAAAAGCCACAAAGAATGTCTGTTTGTCTGGACAAGTAAATTATATTTAAGGTAAACTAAATTCAAAATTACTGCTAATTTGCTTTCAGTGGCTTTTTCTGTGTTCTTCTTGTCTCATCACTTGCTCTGACAGGCAGGATGACTATCATCATCATCCAGTATTTTCCTGCTCTCTAATTCTCTCCTCTCCTCCTTCAGAATTTTCTGGGAACCTATGCAGTCCCTGAGCAGATTTATAACAACCAGTTGTATAACAACTAGTTGCGTGGCAAAGGGAAGGATGCTAGTAGTCTTAGTTATTTGTTGACTCAGGACTGGGAGGGAAGTCTGCAATAAACAAACAAAAACAAATACACACACACACCCCCACACACATCCATCCCAATAAACAAAATTACCACAAAAGAAGCCTCAGAAAATATTCCACTTCCTGCTAAGAAACATTCCTAATGGGGTTTAGGGCTCAGCTCTCCAAGTCAGAGCACATCCAAACAAGACTTTAGAAAGAGCGGAACAAGTATAATAGTAAATTTCCAGAGAGCCTCTTGAAGATGTATCAGGTAACCCCTGGGAGAAGAGGGTTAACTGCTTCTGATAGCATACAGGAAGGAATTAATGATTCATTCAAGCACTTCAGGAGCCAGGGAAAACAAGGAGGAAGGACTTGTTAAGATTCCTTATCTCATGGAAGTCTTAAAACATCTCTTTATGGAGAGTATCTTTCCCCACAGGAAGGCTTCTCTCTCTTTTGCACAAGCTTAGCAGGCTGGTTTGGTCTTTCACAGCCTGTGACTCCACCAACTTCCTGCTGCTTCTGGAAGAGTCACTACCACCTTTAGGCAAGCTGAGGGGCAGGTTTTGTCTGTCACAGCTCAGGACACTGCTTCAGCCACCTCCTTGTTTCACTGAGGCAGGTGAGATTTCTTTCATTGAGAGCAGAAATAACAATAGCAGTCCTAAGGTAAAAATGTTACTGTAAGAGGTAGAACCAATGGGAGTTTTTTCCCCTTTTTTCTATTTTAGTCTTCTCTGGTCAAGAGAGAAATGGCTGTTATTTGAAGACATGAACCTTGACCTCCTGTGCCTGCTGAGTGAGGGGGGAGTCAAAGTGAAAAAGCTGAGGAGAGAGCCCTAGAGAGTGGGAACATCCTGGATAGTGATGGCCATCATCCTGCTTGCCAGCATCTTTGCTATCCTAGACCAAGCCACAGAATAGTATTGTTTATGACACATGGACAGTAAGTTAAATAAGGAAAATGTGTTTTCTTTGAGTTGTTTACTAAAGTTGATCCATCTTAAATGGATTTTAAGGGGAAACATTTGTAGAAGGGCAAGTATTGTACAAGATAGAAATGTTGCCTCTGAAATTGAAAATTCCTCCTATACAGAGTCTATGACATCACAATTAGCACTCATGGCCTAGAGACTTGCCACGTATACACTACCACTTATGTCGGCAAAAGCTATGTCGCTCAGGGATGTGAAAAAACACACTCTTGAGAGACATGCGTTTCACCAGCACAAGTGGTAAGTGTGCACAGCTCTATGTTGGTGGGAAAGCCTCTCCTGCCAACATAGCCACTGCCACTCCTGGAGGTGGTTCTATTATATCGATGGGAGAGCTCTTTCCCATTGGCATAGAACATCTACATGAGTGATCTTCAGTGGCGCAGCTGCATCAGTACAGCTGTGCCACTGTAAGCGCACTAGTGCAGACATGGCCTTACCGTTTATAGATTCATGCAGCAATGTGAAACACAAAATAGCTAGCATAAACCTGGGACAATAACTATATTAAAGACTATACTAGAAAGAGGAAACCATGTTATAAAACAACCTTCCAAACCAAACAATAAGTTATGGGACTTGTCAGGTACATGACAGTGGACTGATCACATTTTGCAGCACACTATTCCACCAAGCTACAGCCATCTGAACGAACTAGGGCAGGTCCTGCTCCAGTCATGCACAAGTATTTCAAATAGGATAATACTGCGATGATCTGCTAATACTATTGCTCTCTGATGCATGGAATCAACATTTTTCAGCTTTGTATCACAGGCGCGAATGGAAATTCTCCTTTTGCTCAAGTGTTAGGATTTGGTTTCTATTCTTGGTGAAGTTAACAGGGCTTCAGTCTGAATGGGTTCTATCCTCATGGATCAGACTGCAGAATAAGTATCCTAGGATGATGCATGTGATTAAAATGATTCTACAAATTTTCTAGTCTCAATTTTTTTGGATGAAGCTGATTAAGTTCCTGATTTGCATTGGTATCTATTAGCATAGACCCCTGTGCCTATGAGAAGTCCAGTTGACAGGATATTTGTGATCCCTCTTTCAGGATCCCTGTTTTTAGAAATGCCTCAAATCTCCATTCCCAGAGTATACAGAAACATCTTTACTCCTGGCTTTGTTTCCAAAAGGTTGCATTCTTAATTTAAGGATCTTACTTTCTTTGTAAGTGAAATTTTTATTCATTTGAATGCACTGCCATACCTTTTAGAAGAAACTTCTAACACAGTTGAAATTTTAGCATGAATAGTCAATATTTTGCATTACCAGAAGAAACATTCTGCAGTGATTTTTTTTAAAGTTCTTATACTCCCAGTTACCTAGTTAAAAATGTGTGACAATCTATGAAGACTCTGTAGTGATCTGTGACAGGAAGTACCCTGCTGATATTGATGTTATGTACTTCAAGAGGAAAAAAGATCTATTTGACTGGCAAATGTTTTAGCCATCTTCACATTTCAATATTTTATTTCTTCTCTGGGAGACTAACTTCTTATTGAAATGATAATTTTTGAGACTAAAATACAGAAATAATGTTAAAAAACCCATAATGAACACAACTTAATGTGCATATGTTGGCATCTACCTTCAATCTTGACTCTACATAATTTGATACAGGAATATTTTTATATCATGGGTCATTTATTGAGCTTTATACCTTGAAAACAATATGCCAACTACTGAATAAATTCTAAATGAAAATATATCCTTACCTTAAAAAGTATAGCAGAGAAAATGCAGCATTTAGTTCTT